TTTGCCCATAAAACGAATCACAGCTTGCACTTCCAAACGAGACCAATTTCTTCAGAGCCTTTCTATTTCAATCGTCCTGAACCATCTGGGAACCTTCACTACCTATCCGCAAACCAGCTGTATGACAAGTAGTGCAATTTGTCTCCAGTATGGGGAAACAAAATTTCTCCAGAATTCGTAGTTTTCAAATGCTGCGCCTTGAAACCTTTTTTTTTATCCACCTGCGCATTCTATTTATAAAACATTTGAAATTAAGTTGCTTTATTTTCATATTTCAAGTTCTTCAAAAGACATCATTAATTTTTTTACAAGAATCAAGAAAGGGGAGCAATTTATTCAATTAAGAAGTAATTGAAAACACATCAAAACATAAAAAATTGTTTTGCTTAATGGATTTCGATTTAGATAATTAGAAGAAATGTTTTTTGAGTTTTTTTGTTTTATAATTCGTTGATTGAATTTCTATGCTTGAATAAACTATACAGAAATTTTCATGGCATTTTAATTTACTCTTGTAATAATATACTTATTATTTTAGTTTGAGTATGAGCTTACAGTCAACTCAGGAGAATATCATTTACTCCTTGTTAAATTTCAGAAAAAATAATGTTGTCAATGACATAAAGAAAAAGTATAATATTAATATAATTGTTATATCTTTTTGTGTGTATCTAATACCTTAATTACCTTTCGAAAAGACATTAAATGTTTCCGTTACATGTGTATACGATACATAAATATGATAACATGGTACCCAGTAATAGAATATTTATTTAAATTAATAAGAAACATTTAACTTCAATACATATTTTGGTTAAAAAAAGAATTATGTATTTTTTTTTACTCTTGAATTACTATTATTAAAACACCCAAATAAAAAGATCTTTATTGATGATAAAAACAGCTATCAAAAATTTAATTTTTTAAACAATTATGTTATTTGTTTTCCGTCAACTGACTTTAATAAGTGGGAGGCACGTAGCTATCTTATTATTTATGCATTTGTGTACAAAAGGAAGTGTTAACTCAAGCATAATATATCCTCTAGAAATTAAAAAAGACAAAAGAATAATCTAATTATTAACGGCCATTGATCTTCAGGAAAATTAATTTGGCAAAATTAAAAGATATTTTTTTTTCTTTAAACGATTATTCTATAACAGACAGTGAAGCATTTCGTTTTTATGTGTTTATTTTACTTGCTCGGAATATGCGCATTTCAATAAAAGCCTTTTTTGTTATTCTGCTGGTGCTTGAAAGGTAATATCCCTCATCAATTTTTTTATGTATATTTCATATCAAATATGGACTTGTTTAATCAAGTGCAAAATTTTTTTAGATATTTTTTTAGTTTTGACATGCTTGAACAGAAAAACATCTTTTAAAAACTCATAAATAAAAAAAATGTTTAAAACCCAAATCTGGGAGATTACTCCACATTTATTGTTGTTTAGAAATTTTCTTTTCCATTTTAACATTAAGTATTTTATACTCCAACTTCGAAACTATTGTAATTACATCGCCAAGCAATCCTTCGTAAAATGGAATGTACTCATAAAATGAAATCTGAATTAGATGGAGTTTAAAATAAAATTATGTCGAGCTCATTATCAAAATTTAAATATGAATCATGTTTAGATTCATGTCTATATACTCCTTTTAACCCCATAACAGGTAAATATTTTTTTGACCAAAATGTTTAAAAAAAAGGCACATTTTTTGTTGCATATGACTAAGCATAATACTTTATACAATAAGAAAATGAAAAAAAATTATTTTAGTTTCAATTTTAAAGTATTCACGCTATTTTTTATTTTATAATTGTGGAACACAACCCCCCTAAATTTCCCCTTTTATTAGCACACTCTACATACTGTGAAGAATGTTCCATATATCTTAAAAGAATTTCAATCATACTTATAAAATATTTTCATGATCGCACCTCTTTTTAAAACGGTTGAGAGTTTTTTTTGTGTGTGTGCATTTATAAACCCACATAGATTGAAGCACGGTTTAATACCAAGTCTTACATTGTAATCGGATATAAATTTTATAAGCTTTTATTCATCACCTTTCCATTCTCATTTCTTCTGAAGCAAAAAACTGCACTTAGTCCTACAGAGATTTTGCCAATCCCTGTTCCTTATCGAAATTTCAAGAATCTAAATTTTTGGCTTCAAAGAAAAATTTCCCTCTTTAACTCAAAGAAAAGCCCGCACGAGAAGTATTTCAGTACCATGGACACACTGCTTCTCTTACCAAGTAATATAAAAATTTTTTTAAGTCAATTCCTACTTTGAATGAATGAATAGAAAGTATTTTATTACGATTGAAAATTTGAATAAGATATATATATATATATATATATATATATATATATATATATATATATATTATACATATATTTATGAACTAATAGTAGGAACTGAAAAAAGAGTATGGTTTGTTTGCATTGATGTAACAATGCAAACCTGATTTGGCTAGTTTGGCTGAAAAACAAGTTTTCGACTTAAATTGTTATAACAAAAGAGATGAATCTAAGACGGCGTCAGAAACCGGTAAAAATGAAACCAACATGGCTGTATCTGTAATTATTTGAATAGTTAGTTTCAGTCAATTAATTTTAATTAATTATAATTAAATTATCGTATTTTTACCCAAAACAATAGTGCATAAAAAATTTCAGCTCAAGTGAGAGAAAAAAAACCTTTTCAAGTTTTGATAAAAGTCGCCAAAATGGTCACTAAGTCTCCAAAAATGATGCCAACGTGGATGTATTTGTAATTCTTTGAATAATTAGTTTTAATCAATTAATTTTTATTAATTATAATTAAAATTTACTGTATTGTCATCCAAAATAATCATGCATATAAAGTTTCAGCTCAACTGAGCGCTTTAAAATATATTTTATTAACGTTGAAAATTCCACCAAGATAAAATAATAAATAAATAAATATATAGAGAGTGTGAGCTTATAGTAGAAATTGAAAAACACTAGCAATAATAATCTCACCATAAGAATTAAAAATATGATCAAATCAAAGATAGAAAGAAGAAAAATCAGTGCCCGTGCGGTTGTACGGGCAAACCGCGGTTAAGGGTTTAATTGCTCTGTTTGCATTTTTTACGTTATCATTGCGTTGATATTAACCTGAAAAACATCAAATGATGTCTTCATGAGTATTTTTGGCAATATCCCGTACAATAATTTTTTTTATGAATATATAAGTTGTGAAGGTTTTTTCTTAAATGCAATGCTGTATCTTCGTAGAGAAAGGAATTAAAAACCTATCAATATATTTTTAAATCAGTGTAAATGGGACTCTAATATTCTTAAAAGTCTGAAGACGAGTAATTCCAAAAATAGTAGTAACTTTTCCACCGTTGGAACATTTTCTTATAAAACTATCTCCGAAAAATTCATACAACAGGTAACCTCTTGAGTCATGGTAGATAGATTACTTGATAGTACTGCGTTGTGGAAAATCGCGTTAAAAGAGACAATAACTTTGTGGCGAATCTATACGCGACCTCTAGCTAACCCTCTTGGAGAATCTTTGGGCTATCATTCGCGTTTGATTTACAGCCATCCCTCTCAAGAAGAAACCATGATATGCAGATTAGTTCAACTATATAAAGTCAGAGTTTTGTAATTATAGGAGAAGGATGTAAGAAGCTGTTACATTCGCTGCGCAGGTGAGATTGAATAAAATTGATTTTCGCATGTAAAGATTTCAAGTGGAGTTTGGCCACAGTGTGGAATTAGTAGATTTAAGGTTAGGAATCCACGTTAGATTAGGTTGAGAGAAATAAGTTACTTGCGCATATTTGCTTATTAATTATTGCATTCTCTCTGCTACTTCTTTGACATTCACTTTGAAATATTTTGCTATTGGTTAATGCGTTTGAGTAAATAAATAATTGTTATTATGGAAGTCTGTAGTTCTGCTTTCATTCCTTCCCCACCCTTTGGTAGGCAAGACGGTGAAGGTGAAACTTCAGGTATAAGTCACTTACAGCTTAAAATAAAAAAGATAATCCGGTTCTAAAAAGGGAAAAATCTGCTTTTTATGGTGAAACATGTCGAACATATTGATTATAAAACTATACACACATGAAAAAAATTCATAACAAACGTGAACAACTTAAAATAAAATTCAACATGGTATAAAAATTAATAAAGAAAGGATCTCAAATTAAATATTTAAAGTTAAGAAAAATAAAAAGAAACACATAATGCTATGTTTAGAAATCGATATCATATCATCGTTTATATTTGATCGTGAAAATTTGAAAGAATATCCGTTTCCTGTTTTATGACGGTTCTTTTCATTCTACATTGTTACTACTACAATATTTTCAACTAGTTTGTATAACATGAATTTACATATGTGGATAGATCGTTGCTGCAAGCCGAAAACAGTAGACCTTTTTGCCGTGAAAGACGTTACCAGGGCGCACTGCGGGGAGGTATATCTTCTATCGCGACTTTTGAGACAAAAACTGGAAAACATAAAAGTAGAAACACTTCTCGTGTTTCTGAAAGAAGTTGGAGGATCGGCTTGGACCAAGATATCTCGGATAAACCCCGTGAAAGGCTGTCATGGAATTTAGATTTGCGGTGGGTCAAGACTGCCTTGTTGATCACCTCCATCATATGGGTATTTTTGAGAGTCCAAATTGTCCACTCTGTAAAAAAGACGAGGGGATGGACAGAAATCATTTGTTGGGATGCTCGGTTCTGAGCAGGTGGAGACTCCGATTTGAAAAGTTATTAGAGTAGTATATATATCTTGTTCAAATTTTCAATCGTTAATGAAATACTTTCTAATCGTCCGTTCAAGTTTAAATACATTTTTAAAGCTTTTAGAGGATGACACTTGATGTTGATGCAGTTTTTTCAAATATTAATTCATTAATTCTACTTAATTAAGGAATAAATAGTAAAAAACAAAAATAATAGTCCAACACCATATATAAAAAGGAAAATCGTTCGTTGTGTCCCTGAAGCGCAATAGATAACGAGTTGAACTTTTAATCCAAAGGTCGTGCGTTTGAATCCCACCTGGGATGGTCTAGTTTCTGAGAATGTGATTTCTTTTTTGCTATACAATTTTATTAGAATAATTAAATTTAATTAACGAATAAATAGTAACAAACAAAAACGTAGCCCAACATCATATATGGAAAGGAAAATGGAAAATAGCTTTTTATTTTGTCACTTAATATTGCAATTCTGTCATATGTATATGCATATTTAAATTAATTGTTACTATCAATATAGAGTAATTAAAATAAAATTTTCGTTGTTGACCTAAGCAGGAATTGACTTAATTTTTTTCTCTTGCTTTATTTTTTGTGTGTTTCTTGTCTTATTTTAAGAGTTTGTCATTTTCTTATGCTGTTGGGAAAAAAAACTTATGTGGATAAAAAAATTCGAAGAACTGTTGATATAGTGTTAAAAAAATAATAAAAAAACATTTGCTCCCAGCTGTCCTCACACTGAAGAAAGCAAAACAATCAAAAACGTTTTTCCCTGCTATTCTGTATTCTCGAAACAAAAAGCAAAGACTTGACAGAAAAAATAAAAGCTTTTCTCTGACTGTGCTATGAGCTCTGAGTCACTACAATATTACCGACAACATATGCACATGCCAGCAGCACTCACAGGAAAAGTGACTTGACTTCACAACGCATATATTATAAGCGATCAAAGTACTAAAAAAAGGTATTTGGGAATAATACATGTACACTGTAGAAGTATGGCACTGTAGGACAATTGCCTCACTGTGGAGAAATCGGGTTGTAAAGATATCACGTAATAAGAAGTTTACCTATAAATTCTACAAATAAAAGAAATAACTCAGAGCCACATTTAATAAATATTCTATTGAGCAGTAATTTAATTTTTGCTATAATTTAGGTGTCACTACACCAATCTATGTTATAAACTTCAATTCTTGTCAACTGCATAAAATTGGTGTCGCATTTTTGTTAGTGGTTCCGAAGAACTAAATTATGATGTTTAAGGATGGATTAATTCTTAATTAAATAGCCAATTAACTTCTAAATTGTTTTCTTTATATAAATAGAGTTATTTTATAGAATTAATTAGATAATAGTTTCAATAGTTGATGCTCTAAATTTCATTCGATTCCGACAATTATTTCCAAAGATATGCAAAAAAAGGTTTTAGAGGACCATTTACTATAATTCTTCCGTGTAAGCGATTCATATTATTTTTACTGTTCCTTAACTAACCGCATATATGGAGTAATAATTAAGATTAATAAATTATTTTATGTCTCCACGATTTTTTTATCCCATCGTAATTACCAACTAATTACTTTCCATGCTATTGCTGGAAATTGCATAACATGGATTAAGGTTATTCGGATTTAAGTGCTTTTAGACATGAGAAATTCAAATTCATAAGCATTTTGGTACTTTAATATTCAGCCTTTTTTCGCAGTTGTATTTAATAATTCATATTCATAGTAAAATCTCTCATTCTTCTTATTTTTAAATAAAACCTCCATTTGTGGTAGGATGTAAAAAACTTTGAAAGTGTAGAGAAGAAATATTTTTATCGTCAAATGTTTCAGACACTCATTTTAGCCCTTGTAACTCAAACAAAACGACGAGCAGAGTTTTCGAAACTTGAAACTTCAATTTATTGTAAGATATAAAAAAGATAAAATGCGGAAAAAATAGGATTAACTCCCTAGTGGAAAAATTCCATTTTATAAGTTATGTAAACAGAATAAATTAATAAATCCAATAACACCATAATGTAATTTCCCCTTAATCCATTAACATTGACACAAATTTTTCCCAGCTGTGACGAGAAGGACAGTTGTTAGTAAGGGTGTACTATTTTTTGGCGACTAGATTGTAGAAGAAACTTAGGAAAATAGCTGTGCTCTTTATCAGGATAGATTATATTTTTTAAAGAATAGTATCCTTTAAAGTAGAAAGTAAAAATAAGTAATATAAATTTTTTTAAAGTCAATTCCTACTTAAGTCAACAAAGAAATATTTTATTTTAGTTACTTTTTATCAAATAATTATAATTAATATAAATATGTATATACATATGACAGAATCACAATATTAAGGGGCAATTATTTTTTATTAATTATCATTAAAGTATCGTATTGTCATCCAAAATGATTCTTCACATAAAATTCCAATTCAACTGGATGCTTTAAAACGCGAGAAAAAAATCTTTCAAAGTTTTGTCCCAAGTCGCTAAAGTTGAAGCCAACGTGACTCTGTATCTGCAGTTCTTTAAATAATTAGCTTCAGTCAATTAATTTTAAATAATTATAATTAAATCATTGTATTGTCACCCAAACCAATCGTGTATAGAAAATTTCAGCTCAAATGAGCGCTTTAAAATGTGAGGAAAAAAACTTTTAAAGTTTTGACACAAGTCACCAAATGGTCGCTAAGTCCCAAGAACGATGCCAATGTGGCTGTATCTGTAATTCTTTGTATAATCAGTATTAATCAATGAATTTTTATTAATTATAATTAAATTACCGTATTGCCATCCAAAATAATCGTGTATATAACATTTCAGGTCAATTGAGCTCTCTAAAATGTATTTTATTAAGAGACTTGGTACCCTAAAAATCGCAAACCTATCGTTTTTTTAATTTCATTTAATATTATTATTCGTATTATTATCTTTCGATTGATATATCACTTGTGCATGTCGGAAAGTTAGAAGTTGACTAAAACTTCATTTGAAAACAAATTAGGCAATTCAGCCACACCCCTTTTAGAAAAAAAAAAAAAAAAAGCTAAAAAAAAAATGCTTTATGATAAAAAATCTATTTTAGAAATAGAAATAATAACTATAAAAAAGAATGTGTAGTATTAAAAGCAGAATATTTCCGAGGCAATACAATAATGTAATTTTTCTTCCTTGTGAAATGTGTGCATGTAAAATTTTTAAATTAAGGCATTTTATATTAATAATTTTATAATTTCAGTTCTTATTCCTGAAATATTTTTCATACAAATGTAATACTTTAATATTATAAGAAGAAAAACAGCTAAAATTTCTGTCGTGACAGAAAAAAAATTTTTTTTAAACATTTTTCTTGAATTTTCATGGGCAATTAGTACTCTCTAAAAGTTGATCATTTATAAAAATGTGTGGGTTGAAAAAATATGAAAATGCAATTATTTTAAAGAAAAACGTATAAATAATATCTTAAAGTGGTATTTTAAGTTTAATTACGCTTATAATAATTATTTTTTCAGAATTATAAACTTTAAACCTGTTTTTCTCAGTTTGTGTTTTTCGAAATCTTAGTGCATTCAAAATGCTACTCCTTCGACAATTATTTAGCAATCACTTCCATTTTTTTCTTGCGTGTTGAAAATAAAGCATGTAATAAAATTAGGAATCCGTTTTGCTATAAACTGAATACTTTTTTTTAAAAAAAATAAAATGTAAGACATGTTGGCTTTTTCGTTGATTTTTAGCCTGTATATCAACATTTTATTTTTTTTCTCGAAAACGAATGAAGTTATTCTATAAAATCGATCCCTAAAGTTGTTTAGATCATCCATAAGAGTATTATAAAAAAATTTCAGGTCAAAAAATTAATTTTTACACAAGAAGTAGGATTTTAAAATTTTCCCAATTTTCTTCAAAAAATTAAAATTTTTAAAATTGTGTGAATAATATATGAAAATTTTCATCTGGTAACATTTTCTTGAATAGAAACATTGTATAAAATGCTAAAATATAATTTTTAAATACGTAAATAAAGAAGTTTGTTCATTGGGTGCCAAGTCCCCTTAACGATTGAAAATTTGAACAAGATATAGAGAGTGTGTGAACTAAAATAGTAGGAATTGAAAAATTCCTTATTTTAGTATTTGTTCTTTGCTGCCCAAATTGTTAAGATCTCACATTAAAATGAGCAAAATGTGCTAGTTTATGAAAAATCGAAAAAAAATTATACAAAAATATACATTAACTTTTAGGAGAGGTTAGCTTTACATTTAAGACCCATATGAGGGCCATTAGTAATTGATTTTTAAATCTGAGTCACGGTCAAGTGATGACAACGGACTCTAAGATGGTATCTCATCATCTCTTACTCTTCTTATTTCCTCACAATGGTGAGTGACGACTTCGAGGCTCCTTTCCCAAATAGTTAGAATTTCGAATATTTTATGTAAAATATTTACATTTATCCTTCCTTAATTCAATTTTAAGTAATGATCTTCATATATTATATCTTTCAAACAAAATTGAATGTTTTCGAAATGTATGCTTGACTAATATTTCCATAAAATTAGAAGTTGTTTTTAAAACGTATGGGAACAATTCTGCATCTGAAAATGCTTTCTCCACAGTTGGTTAAAAGTTTTCCACATTGCGAACATTCTAATTTTATGTGATCAGAAATGATCAATTCTTTAGAAAATTTTAAATGAATCTGGTTTTTTAATGACTGGTCCATTTTGCGCTAAAAAATGTGATATAAATCTGTAGTGAGTAAAATTCATTTAAGCAGCGATAGACAATTTTTCCAATTTTTGTTTTAAAATCAGTAAATTTTAGTTTTAATTCTCGAGTGTAAATGGGTTTCTGTTAAATTCCCTCAAGAATTTATTGGAAAGCGTGTGCATGTTTGTATGTGCATGTATGTTTGAGAGTGTATGCTTGTATGTGCATGTATGTTTGAGAGTGTACGCTTGTATATATATATATATGTACGTGTATTCATGTGTTTGTGTATGTAAGTGTACTGTATTTCCCACAGGTTATTGATTAAAAGATGCATATTTATTGGAAAACTTTCCAAAAGATATTAAAATACTCACCTATAATGTTTATCGAAATTAGAAAACATTATATTACAAAAGTATTATTGAAGCAAAGCAATGATTGTTAAGTAACAATGCTGAAACAGACCTTTATCATTGAAGTTAATTATGAATCAGCAATAATATAATTTCGATTCATAACAATGCTGCTTAACAGAAAAATTAAAGAACAACCAACAAAAAGTCGGATTAAACCTCATTATATGTGTTGACTGTTG